TGGAAACTCTGGCGGTCGTGAAAGCATTGCAGAATTTTCGTCACTATCTGGTAGGAATAAACTTTAAAGTAGTTACCGATTGCAATGCTCTCAAGGCGACTGAAAAGAAGAAGGACCTGCTCCCACGCGTCGCCAGGTGGTGGATCTACTTACAAGATTTTAACTTTAGTATTGAATATAGGAAAGGTACCATGATGTCACATGCTGACTACCTAAGTCGAAACCCAGTCACTACCAAAGTACACCAGATTTCTAGACCACGCAACTGGGCGCAGATTGCTCAGTCGGCAGACGATGAGACACAGGGCATTTTACAGAAATTACAGGACGGAGAATTAGATCCTCAACGATATGTGCGGCAGAATGAGCTACTTTATTATCGATACACACCAGTGGGTGGGGAAGCCAGACTACTTTGCTTTATCCCCAAGGGACACCGGTTAAGTTTACTGAGAATTTTTCACGACGAGCATGAGCACATTTGTGCAGAGAAAACCATAGACTTAATCCTCAAATATTTTTGGTTTCCTGGACTTCGCCAATTTGTAGTAAAGTATATAAAGCACTGCCTTGTGTGCGTGTCCAATAAACGTGTACCCAGAGCCCCTCACCAACCGATTACATCTTGGGAAAAACCCGGTCTCCCTTTCCAAACATTGCATATAGATGTACTTGGTCCGTTACCCGAATCTAACGGTTACAAATTCGTCTTGCTAGTAGTAGACGCGTTTACAAAGTTCTGTTTGCTATATCCGATTCGTAAGCAGGATGCTAGTGAGCTTAAACGCGCGTTCTGTAACACAATTTCACTCTTTGGCGTTCCTAAGCTTGTAGTAGCTGACCGCGGAAGAATGTTCGAGTCCTCAGAGTTCTCTACTCTGTTGACCGAGTTTGGTTGTGATATCCATTTTATAACACCTGAGATGCACAATGCTAACGGACAGGTAGAAAGATACGTCAGAACCGTTCTGAACATGATCCGTATTGAAACCAATTATAGACACGCGGAGTGGTCAGAAAAACTATGGAGACTTCAACTCACTCTTAACATTACCAAGCAGAAAACCACACAAGCCTCAGCACTGAAGCTTCTAGTGGGCACTGACGCCACGACACCTATCGTTCGAACGCTAATACGTGACGTCGCCATCGATATGTCCGAAAACCACGAAGGCTGGCGAGAGCTGTGCAGAACAAGAGCTCGCCAACTGTTGACACGAAACCAAGCCAAACAAGATTCTCATGTCAACCGGCAACGGCGAACACCACGCGCATATAACGTTAACGACCTGGTTTTCGTAATTAAATATTCTCAGTCCACAGGAAAACTAGACCCTGGCATGCGCGGACCGTATAGGGTGCTCAAAGTATTACCTAGTGGTCGCTACCAGTTGAAACTCATCAGCGGTTCATATGGCAAAACCACACAAGCGGCTGCTGAGTACATGATACCCTGGAACGGAGAATGGTGTCCCGAATCATGTGCAGCTTTTTTTGAGGGTGAGTATTGAATTGGTTTTATGCGCTCCGCTGGCAGGCTGCGTTGCCAGGTGGTAAATGCATTTAACTAAATGATGAACTTTGTTGGATGTGCGATTCAGTGATGCCTCCATCCACACGAACATGACTGATTGCTTGCAATGCATAAAGGACGCGCGATTCAGAGATGCCTCCGTCCAAATAGACATACCTATAGCGAGAGGTATTGTTCTAAATGAACTAAATGACTGAAGTGTTGACGTGCGATTCAGAGATGCCTCCGTCAACCTCAGACAGAGGGGACGCCTTCTGTCTGATTTGTTCACAGATGCAGCATTGGATCAGTAAAAGCATCGCGGGCCTAGAAAACAGGGACACAATCTTGAGAGCTCTCACTAGTTATAAGCCTTCTTACATAAAATTGCATGTTGTGTGTAGCCTACACTATGAAAACCATTATTGCAGTTTCTAAGATGCGTTCATATTTCAGAGGACGAAATAAGTTACCCCAACACAGGGTCACCATCAATAGCACTTCAACCCGCTACTGAGATGGCTGGACTTGGTAGAGACTCTTCAGCTGCATTGTTGGGACCAGTACTAGCCGAGCACCATGAAGACCGCATCGAGGACGACGCTTTGTCAGGATAGGCCGATTTAGGGAACTCATTTTTAATAAACAAACGATTCCTATAAAAGGCGGTGCACGCCCGAAAAACGTTCATTTGCTCATTGGCTTCGGTACGGGACGGTAGTTGTCGACGCGATTTGTGAGTGTTTGTAATTATAATTTCAGTTGCTGAAAAGCCTTATAAAACTCTGTAAGTAGATAACAGTTGATTTGTATAAGTGATTGGTGTTTTATTTTGAAATTTATGCTATGAGAGTGTTCAATAAATGAGATTATTAGTTTCTAGATTTTATTAGTTCATTAAATGATCTCTAGCGTGTAAGATAATTGTTTTTTTTTATTGATTTGTGAATCTGAATCCTAAATATATATATATAAGCTGATAGCTACAAAATTATTTTTAACCTTATAAACTCAATTGCCGGAATTACAAGTTACATTATTATTAAGTATTTTTTTATTGCAAAATTTACATACTTGGTCCATATGTTATTATGCAATTTGTTCTTTATGTAATTTCAATTAAGCATGTGGTACTTACTAGTAGAACTAAAAATGGTTATGTCATTACGTTGTATGTCGTGGAAGTGGGTATGAAACTACACGGTTTCTGAAACTTTCAATGAAGTTAAGCCAGAATCCAGTTTAGCAGAATTCTAGTTAATACAGCGTGGAAACAAGTACGGGGAATTGTATTTTTCAATTTTTTGAAGAGAGATTTCAGTGATGCTACTATTAGTACGCCTTCCGAAGATTTACGAAAAGTAAACGTTTAAAAAAAACATGCAAATTCTTCTCCCCAGAGGGGCAAACATAACCCGTAATATGTTAGACATCATAATCGGAGGTTAGTAAGCATATTACGAGTATTACTATTTACTATAACTATTTATCCTTTTTAAAGTAGGCACTTTAAAAAATTTGGAAGTAGTTTTTTTTTACACCTCGAGAATGGTCTATTTTTTTTTCGTGAATTTACCCTCATGTGTTTATTATGAAAATATACGTGAAAAATCCATATTTAAAATGATGTTTAAGTATTTAAGGTGATAACATTTATTATAAAAATCTGCAACAAACCTTAATTTCGTCGATGTATATCTACGAGTATATATTATGCACACTTTTTGATAAAAGATAGTCACAGTCCAGAGGCTTCTCAATTTGTCAAAAGTTTTATAGAAGTGGTGGCTTCTTTCCAACTATTCATAATTTACTCTTCTCTTGCAGGTATATTAGATGCAAAGTACAAGACTTCATAAATTAATTTTGTTTATAATATAATTATATTTGAATATTGCTTAACATATATTGTGATTCCCTATAGCAATTTATTAAAAATCAAATAAAACACAACCAGTTTCAGCACAAACTACTTCATGCGTTGACCCGCCCACACGTGCATGGCTCTCCCTCGGCAAGGTGGTTTTAATTTTTGGAAAAAAAAAAACAGTCCATAATAGTATGAGTCCCGGTTTTCACAAGCGATGGAATAAAAAAACTACGAAGTTAAAGCTAATCAATTAATCCAGACTGCATTACAGCCTAATAAATACTAAACTCCACAAAGAAGAAAGCAATACGAAGTGAAAAAATATACCTAGTGTATGTACAATGGTTTTAAAAAATATCTACTGGATTCACATAGGTTGCCCCGCTGAATCTGAAATCTACAGTTTGTCTCGAATAATGCCATCTATGGGCAGTGAGTACAACTATGTTGTACTCTTAGTACCTGTGAAATACAGATTGACAGAGGGTTGACGTTTGGAATTCTATCCGTTCCTTGGTTAATTCGTAAACCTTGGTCCAGATGGCGCATATTATGCACTGTATAAATTAACTGTTTATGACAGCGCCAGCTATTCAGTTAATTAATAGTTAACTGAATAGCTGGCGCTGTCATGCATCTGGGAGATTTATAATTATGCAGTGGTAAGAAAAATTATGTAGGGTGACTCTGAACGAAAAATAAAACCTTTTTGTGTCGTAGGATGCTTTCTTACCGATCGCGCACCGTTAATCCGCAAAACCTTTTTTAACATTTTAGCAAATTGTGCTGAAACATATACAATGAAGGGCAAAAAACCGTGCTTAGATTTTTAACGAAATTGACTTCATCACATTTTCTTCGTTTTTCTCACACTACAAACGCATACTTTTTGCTTTTCAATAACAAAAACAATTGGTTTTCAATAAACCGGGTTTTTTAAACAACTTGCCACAAACTGAATTTTTCTAAAGTATTTTTTAAATTCATACTTTTACCCGAATAATCCCGGTGAAAAACCAGCCAGTTTACTTTTTTTATAAATATTGATAACACTATAGTAAATATACTGTATTAAATCCTAAAATAAACATAATTTTGTGGCAAAAATAAAAATACTAAATGAAACAATATTAAAACTACTGTTAACGTATTTCACTTTTTAATTGTCAATTTGGTACAAAGTTCTTAAAACGATTTATTAATTTCATGTAGTCATGTTATGATGCTATCTTAGCAATTAACTTGGTTGATTATCTCGATGAAACCCATGGGATAAATTTAATTTGTTGTGAGATAACATACATAACAAAAATAGAAAATAGAGTATAGCTTGCAATGTGCAGGAGTAGAACAACATTTGATTAAACACAAAATAATAACACAATAAAATACTATAATTATAGACAAATGGCAGTGTTTATTTCAGGAATTGTAACAATTCAAAGTTTTATAACACAAGTCACGTATGCACCTAAGTACTTTTATAAAGACACTTCTTAATTGTATCCGTAACCTGCTAGGTACAATCATTAACTATTTAGTAGAGAACACGTGCATAGTCACTTATCACTTCTCGATATGCTTTATATTCAGGGGTTGAAAACCCAAGGTCTCGGATCAAACTGGTGTCGTTCTACGGTAAGGATCGGTACCAACAGCGCGATCGTGACGTGGCGGAGGTGGTTCCTCACCGCCCCGAGCTCCCGCACCAAATGTAACCATCTCCTCCTCACGTGATGGCGGTGGTTCGACAGCAGAAGTATCCAGAAAGCGCCCGCTCGCAACAGAGGCCTGAGATTGGAATATCGATGCACTTCTTAGACCACTCAATGTATTTGCGCTTTGAGGAACCTCCTTGAACTCTTCGAAGTAATTATCGCAAGCTGTAGGGCGAGGCCCTGCAGGAAATCCATACAACGTAGACGTTGACAAATCTTTTAATGACGCTGAACTTAAATTAATTCTTCTGTTTTTATTGTGTATAGAACAGTGAGGCAATTCGTCACCGTCAAATACAAAGCGCCGCCGCTCTCGTGGCGTAGCAGCTGACGATCCTGAGGGTGGATACGTGTCTCTTTTCATCATTCGCCTTTCTAACAGTGTAGAATCGCGTTCTCTAAACTCGGAGAAGGCATACTCACGATCCCAAGCCCGACAGTCGGCTTTAGCTTTCTCTGTGAGCTCTGTTATCCAGTCTTTTTGGTACCACTGTAGAAATAGAAATATTGCCGAAGTGCCTGCTAACTCAACAGCCAAAAAGCCACTGATATACAGTCCAAAGGAGTAACCGTAACTGTAAGACATTCTTGGTGTGTCGAATACAGTCATATAACGTAACTTGTGGCCTAATTGTGATTTGAATACAGATATGTACATGACAATCCCGGTCAGCATTATTAAACCTGTAAATAAAAAAATAATACATAATAGGTCATTAATAATTTTTAATGTTTCAATTTGTATAGAAAAATAGAATTGTAGATTTGTTCGGTAAGTAGGTTGAACCAGTAGGTACTGGAAATAATTAAAAAATAAGAAATTTAAAAATATTGTTATTTTCATGTTGTAGTGTATTGATATATTTATACCTTCGTCAGTGGTCATCGTGGTTATTGGTATTGAGGTTTTTAAATATTATACGTAAAACATATATAACTTGCAATGGTCTGAGTTAACCTTGTTTCGATTTTATTAATCAACAATATTGTTAATCGAATCATAAAGACATAATAATATGTAGTTAATCTCGCGCACTTGCCAGAAATTATAAAAAGAACGCCAGCGATGAATGTGCAGAGACGTCTTCCTTTGACACAATGGCCTAGAACACAGCATAACGCCCCGACCGCCTGAGTGAATACTGCTAGTAAAAGCGGAGCAGCCGACCTAGTCACCACATCTGAAATAGCAAACAATATATATAACAAAGTATTGCAAGTATTTAGAAACAAGTTATTTTTCGATATTATCTACTCGAACTTCCGTGAAGGGCCTGTTGATTTAGTGGTTAGTGACCCTGACTAAGCTGTAGGTCGTGGGTTCAAATTCTACTCAGCACATATATTGTGTGATGAGCACGACCATTTTATGTGTTTTAGTCTGGTTACCATAGTACGGGCTCTGCCTGCCTGTTAGATTCAGTATTATTTAAAAAGTACTTAGTTACTTTACTAAGATAAGGTAGTAAGATGTTACATTTGAATCCGAAAATATATTGTTTTCCACATTAATTAATTTTCTAAAATTGGTCAAAATTGAGTGGTGGTCATCATCATCATCATCAACAGCCTATACTAGTCCACTGCTGGACATAGGCCTCTCCTTAGAAAGGAGGTTTTGGCCTACTATTTATACCACGCTGGACAGACGGGTTGGTATAGGGTTTGTTTCAAGTTTTCCTTCTCTTTGCAGTGCTGTTGTCCTGCTTAGTTTGCTGGTAATTGGAGTGGTGGTAATTGGTGGTAAAGGGACCACTTCGGGAGCCATACGACGGAGACGGAGATATCGCGTAACAAACATACTGAATAAAATACAGACGAATTGATAACCTCCTCTTTTCTGTTTTTGAAGTCGGTTAAAAAGCTCGATTTATCTGTGAACATACTTACATGGTATAGCATTAGTAGAATCACTCGGGTCTGGTGTATACTGTGACAGCGGAAAATACGGTATATCGACACACCGGAATACTGTACTGCCAGCTGAAAATAGAAAACAAATTACTTTAATTGCTTTTTTTTCATATTGTATTAACAAAATTCATCAAAAAATGACTCGGGAATGACAATAATAGATACCGATGATCAGATGGTTAAAGCGTGTTATTAGATACTAGAAGTAAAAGCAAAAATGCCTTTAAATGACATACTTCACACAATAAATAAGATTCGGTTGTCCATACATTTGCATAGTTTTTTACAATGTTGATATTGGAACGTCGTAATTACTCTTTTTTTATAATCACTAATAAGATAAACCCTATTTAAGTAAACTTATAATTTAATAATAAAAAATATGTACTTTCAATAAAAAATTTAGGAATAGCAGCATAATATTATTATAATATATATATATATCTATAGATAGGTATGTATTTATTATCTACTAAAATAAGTCTGATGAACGGAATCAACGCAAGTAAGTAAAGTTACGATGGTAAGTATTCGTTTTGCTTACAGAATTTTTTTATTATTTTAACTACCAAATTACTTTGCGTCATTGTGACAATGTTAATATTATTGAGGACAGAACTCAATCGATACCAGTAACCTCAAAAACATATCAGGTCTGTTTGAAGAAAGAAATGGCCGAGCTATAAATGGCAAAACCGATGCATCAGGGTACTTTGTAAACGGAATGAAAGTGGGCCGGCCTCGGACAGTGGGACAATGCATTTCCCGAGCTTCACGTCGCGGAAACCGAACGCATTGTAGCCCCGCGACACATGCGGAAGTTACGTACTCTATTGTGTAAAAACTGGGTATTACGTGGGATGTCTGACAGCTATATGCTGTTAAAATAAGGAGTGAGAATAGCAGAGTACACACTCTAGTGTGTATGTGAAATTAGAATTTTAATCAATCCACTGTTAGGTAAATTAAATTATCAAAACTAATATTCTTTTTTAAACAAAAAAGACGTGTGGCACTCGGGGACTGCCGCGGTAAAGCTATTGCATACAATTTTTTATCAACTCATGCAATTATAATTATTTATTTATTTTATTTATGCAGTTTTTTTTTTCTTTGATATTAATTAGATTGCGGGGCGAAGAGGGGGATTACGCATGCGCAGTAACGCCGATACAACCAATGCCACCTAGAGGCGAGTTTCTGAACTAAAGAGACAAGCGTGATATTTCAAAAAAGTCATTAAAAGTTCTGCTATTCATCGATAGATGGCAAAACTAAAAAGTATCACGCTGGGTGTGTTAGGTTATTTTTGTTACGGAATTTCTGGATTCGGTCTCCACGCTCAAGGCACGCGATAGATGCTAAGCAATTGCTTAAAATATCATCATCACGTTTGTTCAGTATTACATATTCTTTATATATTTTGTAAGTCTAGAAAAATATACCTATGTATGTATAATGGAAGAATATACATTTATTAAACATGTACAAGAACTTATAGTATATTTATTAAATATTTAAGAAAGGAATATAGCTATTTTGATTTGACTATACTATTCGAGAAACCCAAAATCAATCTAAGTGGCGTGCAATGGGAGAGGCCTATGTCCAGCAGTGGAGGGCGATGATGATGACGATTCGTTAATATTCCTAGATATTATTATACGTGTACTGTACATAAAGATTTATATTTATATTCTTTTATCGCAATAAATAAAAAAAAGTCTTAGTAATTTTTTTTAGTCTGGTCATTGAGAACTTGGATCTATAACTTTCAATTGTTTTCCTAGTTATTCATAAAACTAAAATCCGTTAAATTATAGGTACTCACGATCTGTATGACATATCCTCCACAATCCAGATATAGTTTGTTTAGCGACTAAGCTGTGTTTACCGGTCCCGTTGAAAGACGGATTCAGCATATTCTCTTGCGTGTGCAGCCAATTGTTCGTTGAGACTGCTACAAGAACTGCTACCACGGCTGTCCCAGCCGATAAAGGAGTTAACAGCCACAGGCAGGCTACCGACGAGTCAATTTGAGCTACTAAAGTTGGTGACGGGGGAGTCGGCCTGAAATAATATGAAAAATAGCCACGTTTAAGTAAGTGTTTGATTGATATTTTAGTTATTTATCATCAATCTTTATTTATAGCTTGTTAAGTTAAATCGAAGAAATAAGACAACACTCATAATGCCACTACATACTTAGCTACTATCTATGCTCAAAGTACAAACAACAACGTATATAATTCTTTAATAAATATGAGATAAACGATAGATCCAAAGAAAAGGTGCTAGATATATGAGGACTGTGAAATATCTGACAAAATGATTGTTCCGACTTTGTTTTGGAGCTATGCCGACCGTTTTAATTTCTTTTTGTGTCTGTGCGGAAACACCCTCTGATACCACCCACCGGTGGGGTGGTGATGTCGAACTCGAACCGACCAAAAACCGTACGGCGTCTCGGATACCAGTTGCCGGGGAACCAGGTGTACCCTAGAAGGAAATCCCTGGTAACCTTGACGTACCTCGGGCTATCTACGGCGTGTAGATGACCCCCTCCTGTGTGGGAACCATGTCCCCGTTGTGCTCGCGAAAGGGAGCGTGCGCTCCTAAGCGCATCTCACCACTACCCCGGCCTGCTTCTGCTAGGACCTCTCCCGGTCCCGCTACGCAATCTCCTTCGCAATCATAACTTGCTCACAGAAGGATACGGTGGAGTTCCACACACTCTCGCTCCGTACCACGGCGGCAATCATGTTACAGAGCGAGAAAATTTCAACTCTGATGGCCGCCACGCCTTTGCTCCACCCTCGCCGGGCATTTTGCCAACGTGAGGAGCGCCATGTCCACGGTCCAGCCATCGCAGTGGTAGCACTCAGGCGTTGGCTCCTTGCGAATCAGACAAGTGATCTTCGAAGCATCCTTTGTGCCGGTATGAGAGGGTTCCGTGATGCCTCTCGAGACAATCCTCAAAAACGGGTCGTACCGCCGCGATAACGGCGTGCGCGGCGGTACCAACCACTAATACTCGTACACCACAGTGTTCGACTTCAATGTAAACGTTGTGTGTTAAGTTGCTAGATATGTTTTCGCTATCCACGTGTCACTATCATTCAAGCGACTACCATTTCCTTAGATTTATCATTTTAATCTCTTCTTTGTTTAAGAATTATTTATGTTACTGTTGGTAGTTTGAAGATAAATTTCCTTAAAGTCGTCTTTTGTATACTACTCCTTTTTCTATTTCTATCTTTATTTTTTTTATTAGATTTTAGTTTCCTAAGCCATTGTTCAAAAGCTCCAGTCAAAAATGTAACTCTAAAATTAATTACTGTAACACGTTCATAAGGTACCTTTATTTTTACCCGACATTTCGATCCTATTCTACCGACTGTGGTAGAAGATACCCAATGCCAGTCTTGGTTGACGGGATATTTATTATTTAGTATGTGGAGGAACTGGTGTCATGCCGATGCAGGCGAAGTGATCATGCCTGGCGGGCCACGGCCTAACGGTTGATGTGGATGATGGGAAGTTCTATATATGCTAATCGAATTCCTCATATCGCGATACAGGATTAGCAGTTACTCCATAGTTCGGTGTGCGTTTTAGTAGGATTCTTTGTTTCACCGTATGTGAAAGTCGCCACAAGTATATATTTACCTGGGCGGGCGGCGGCTGGCGATGGCGCCGCTAAGCGTGGGCGCAGGCTGCGATCGCGCGCCGCGCGGCAAAGACGCGTGCACGCACTGCGCACCGCCGCCCCACATGCCTTCCTTCCGCTTCACTGAAACAATTGACACAGCTTTTGTAAATATTGGTCTAAGAGATTTTTCTGCTATACGATGATAGTAGTGTGACGAAAATATAAAAATTACATAATTATTTTGAAAAGAGGAGTCACCATAAAATAATTACTTAGTATTAGAAAGTGTAAGTTTATTATTGTCAGTGTAATATTATAGACAACGGACTAAGCTATCCTGATTATTTGAGAAAAGAAAATAGCAAATTATACAAGGTTATACCTAAACTTACAATTAATTTAGTATCATAAAAAAATAAAATACTTTCATAATACCCAATGCTAATTTTGTGGGTCAATACCGCGCTGATTTAGAGCTCACAGTTACTAAAGTCTTAAAAGTTTTTGAGCAGATGGTAAATACAATGGGTCAGAGGGTGACATCTAGCCGTAGCGAGAAAGGATGATGTGCATAAGTTTCTTACTCATCATAATCATCAACAGCCATTACTAGTCCACTGCTGAACATAGGCCTCTCCTTAGAAAGGAGGGTTTGGCCTACTATACCACGCTGGCCAGACGGGTTGGTATAGGGTTTGTTTCAAGATTTCCTTCTTTTTGCAGTGCTGTTGTCCTGCGTAGTTTGTTCCCTTAGTCGCCTCTTACGACACCCACGGGATGAATAGGGGTGATGACATTCCGTATTCTTAATCCGTCACCACACGGACATAATCATATGAAAAAGGTAACAGCTTAAACATGGAGTTAAGTAGAGCGTATTTACAATAACAATATTGTAACTATATGGACGTAGTTATCAGAAAACTAACAACGTGGCCCGTGTCCTTTTTTTGTTGTAAACCTGAACAGAATTTGAGGCCATTGTCACAGGTGGATATTGATATTCAATAGTCGTATCCATATATGTTTTTGTACTAGCGCAAGCGTCAGCTCAGTTTCTTCGTGTACCAACCCTTACCCACAATGTTACAAAGGACGACTATAGTAAAATTTAATTATATCACCTCTGTCCAAACTCGACGCTTGTTACTGTTGCGATCGTGGCCATTGCTCGCTTGAATTATTATTATTGTCTATCCTATCCTGTCTTCTAATTTCATTTATTTTTTTAATCTTTAAAGCACTAAACTAAACATTTTAAAAATAAAAAGAATGGCTATTAATAGTTTTTATTTTCAAATTATAGCCTAAAGTGGTAGTGAGGAAAAAAATATTAGCTGGTAGGCTGTTGCTAGTTGTTACTAGTAACAACAGTTACACAACATCTAAGTTCTAAGTTTGCTTCATAAAATATGAACAAATGTACTTTTCAAGAATATAAATCACGTTTATCTGGATCAAATTCTGACATGAGCAATGGTACCTGAGTAGGCTATAGACTGACATAGATTTTAATATTTCAAAGCAATATTAGTTATGCAAATGTCAATTAAATTATGTGGTCTTGTTATGATTAGAACAAAAAAAAAATTAAAGATCAGATAAATGCACATAAACTTATACTGTGTAACTTAAATAAAATGTTTAAATTAAATACTAATGCTTTAAAATGTAGAAAAAATAATCGTAAATTGTTAACTTAATTAATTAGTTAATTCCGCAGTAGTCACTTTTTATCAGGTGCCTCATCTGCTCGTTTATATTTGTATAATGAACGTGTTAATATCGACTTCTATTTGAAGGCCTAGTTGTACAATAAACGACGCCAAAAGATTATTACACTATCATCATTTTAATGAGATTACTAGGCAACTTCTGAGTATCGTATAAATGTACATACTCGTATGTTATATAAGCCTGTTATCTACAAATCAACCAAAACCCTAAGTGTATGTAGATATATAGTTTAAGTATTATCAGGCGCCGTGAGATAAATGGACTGTCACGTTGATAATGACTAATAGCGGGATAATTGATTTCAGAATTAAAATTAAATAAATGTAATTATTTGCTGTTTTTGAGTCAATTTATGGACTACAACAAGTATTTATTAGTAATATTTAAAGAATACAGCTACATTTACATTTAATAATTATTTAGCAGTTAATGGCTTTTCCGCTTTGAATGGTACCCCGTCGCTAATATACACCCATTTATTGGTTAGGCTAATTATAAATGATGTAGTATATGTAGTAATATAGACCCTGTATTGGTTTGGCATGGCAGGTCTCATACGTTAGTAAGCTTTAATAGCATTTCGTTCGGAATAATTAGATTAACATCATATTGATAAAGGATTCAAGTATTTTTTTTAACTTGAAATGTTTTGTTAATCTGTAGACAGTCGTTTATGGATATAAAAGCGGCAATAGGAACAAGCCCCACTTAATATCGGTAATAGAGAACTTGGCCTTTTGGCTGTTTTTTAATTATGTTTGTAAGCTTAAAAAATCAAGCTCTCGGTTTTCATCAATAGCAATATCCAAAGGCACATACTGCAATGTTATCTAACAAACATACAACTATACTATGGAGTAACTACTAATGCTGCATCTTGGTGTGTTATGTCACTCTGGCACACTGGTCGGCTGCGCTCCAAGGTTTGTTTTTTAGGAAAATAGTATACATACTAACCGGCGTGAAAACTTTGTTCTTTGCAGAGATCAGAACTTCGAAGTTCACTGTGTTTGAGTTAGATGAAATGGAAGTAAGCTTTCATTGAATAGGCTTGTCGCCACATTCTTTTTCAAAACACAGCGGAGTAGGAAGCTGCGAGGAGACCGCTATGCCATTCGTGGAGTCATTGTACATGTATATTTACAGACCATTAATTTTAAAGAGCTCAAAGAAATAAATAAGCGTATTCAATTATTGCTTCAACTTAAAAAGCAGTAATAGATACGTTTTTGTTATATTAAACTGATTAAAATAAAATGCAAAGCTTACAGTCGGCAATAAATTCATTATGGTAACTGTGGTTAGAAAATGCTACGCTCTTATAATGCTTTCGAATAAAACTCAAATAAAAAGTTTGTCGCAGTAATGATGGCGATAAACGGTTCCATTAAATATAATTACGACCGTCGTGACGTCACTGTGGACAAAGCAACGTCATCTCAGAGAAAAGTTATAAAAGTTAGTAAACTAAACTCGTTTGAGCTATATTCAACTATAGAACAGTTGGTGCTACATTTTGATTTATCTTGGAATATTCTTGAAAGGAAAATTATGTACCACGTGAAACATAAACGTGTGCCCATACTTCAAAGTTGTGTAAAGTTTGTATGTGGTATACATATCCGACTTATTCAGAACTTACTTAAGAGAAAAAAAATGTTGATGATTGATAATCTGTTGGCATTTAGTCCAGATACATTTAGTTTATTGGAATATATACAGTTTTATAGCATTTCTATTTTTCTTTAAATAAAGAGGATAGGTATCTATATTTCTAAATTTGATGATTGTTTTATTTTTTGTTGTAGCAGTACTATTAACAAAAAAATGACATTTTTTATTTTCACATGCCTGAGGCGTTTTATGCCCTGCAACGCGCGGTTGCCTGAATTTTCACAAAAGTTCTAACTACTTGAAATTATCGTGACACGATAAAGGTAAACTTGGGGCTAAAAAAATATAGTGGTGATCCAGATGATTTGGGGAAGTAATTTTCTATGTTTGTATAAGAAAAAACATGTGAGTTATTTGTTTAGGACTGCAGCTTATTAGTAACCTGGAAGTGTTCTTTATAATATAATCTTCAAACAAGGAAGCTTTATTAACACGGACAAACTTGAGTGGTCTTAAATTTTTTATAGCCGTATCTTTATGAAGCTTGCATCAAATATAACTCGATCATCATAAGAAGTTTATGTGTACTGAATTTTGAATATAAACAATATAGATTGCTTGAAAACCCTTAGTTGCTATTTTCTTTTTATGATATAGGGAGCAACTAGCAGGCATGCAAGTCGGCTATCACAAGTACTTTAAATGATTGGCCTTTCCTTCGCCATTACTCATTAGATTACGTCACGAGATAACGTTTTTGATAGGGTAGTTTAAACCCACATTACCCAGTTTTGTGGAAGGTTTCATAGCAAGAGATGGTTATAAATATGGACATCTCGACTTTCGAACCAAAAACAACATATTTCATTGAATCTATTAAGGTCACGACTAAGGCGCCGAAGGTCGCAGAATGACCTTTGTCCTACATAAGCGCAGGCCTGGGCGTGTAGGTGAGGCGCCCTTTAGGTTGTAGAATGGGAAGACCGTGGTGCCCACTCACAAGGAGGTCATCTACAAGCCGTAGATGGTCTGGGTACCAGGGATTTGCTTCCTAGGGTAGAACTAGTTCCCCGACTGCTGGTACCCCAGATGGCATGCGGTTTTTAGTCGGTTTGATGCCGATAAAACAACTGGTGGGTACCCCGAGGTGATTTCCGAACAGGAAAAAAGGGTTATGGAATATGGTGAATCAATACGTTAGCGACAAAGCGTTACAGAATCACTCAAATTAATTGCTGTTGACAAACTAAACACTATGTTTACAAATATTATTTTATGGAGGTGCGTTGTCATAACGTGCATTATGGGGTTTAAAACATGTTTCATCTCGGGCGATGCTTCAACTGGAATATAATTTAACAAATTACTTACTTGCAGAAAATTACTTACTTACTTAAAACATAAAGAAAGAACACTTAAGCGTATAAAAATGAAGCTTTAGATTGTAAACATTGTACCATGAACAAACAAGTAAACAATTTATATCTATATATACATACGAACTTGCTTTCTGGAGCAGACGCTCGATGTTACTGTATCTACTACGAGTATTAAATATCTGTGTAGACTATTTTTTTATCAGTTTTTTTCTCCAAACTTCTAAACTTGTCAAAATACCAGAATATTTAACTTAAAATAATATAAACTTTTACCACTCACATTCTGAATGAATAGACATTATCTTTAGATGTGTCTATGGTAACATTTGAGGAAGCAGAGACTGTCCGGGCAATGTGACATAATTAATCGAGCGTTATATTTGCGGTTTCATGC